CCGCTGGCCCTTCCTGCCTGGAGATCTCAGCGGCCAGGGTCAGGCCCAAGGTCCCAAGAAAAGAGGCCCCGCGGCAGGTTGCGGGGGGGGGGGGCGTCCAAGAAGGGGGCCCTGCCTCTCCCTCCCCATCACCTTGGGCTCGCCCACTTCGGTGGGTTTCAGAGGGTGCCCGGCCTTCTCCCCTGTACTCAGCCCTCCTGCCCCGTTGGGTCTGCGCCCGCTGGTCATTCAGGGACGGTCACTGAGCTCCGGCTGGTCAGTCACTGTTCCGAGGTCTGTGCGCCCACAGGCCCCCAGGCTGGCTTCTGGGGCGTGTGAACCATGGGAATGGGAACCGAGACGCCCCATCAGTGTGAAGCGCACACCAGATCCCGGAGACTCTGCGCGGAAACAGCTTCTCCAGCCCCTCCCTGCCGGCCCTGGGCCCGGGAGCTGCGAGAGACCCTGAGCCCAGCCAGGCCGCCGCCGCCGCCGCTGTTCCTCTGGCCTGTTGCAGTTTGAAACGCTCGACTACAGGTTTTTGAATTACACGTTTGGCTGGATGTGGGACAGGACTGCTCTGGGCCTGGGGACACCGCAGCTGGTTGCGGGGAGCCAGCCCGGCCCACAGAGCACCTGCTGTCCCCGGGAGACGGGAGACGGGCTGAGCAGGTAAACAGCGGTCAGGGCTGGCGGGGGAGGGCAGCAGCCCAGGGGCGGGTGACCACCCACTTCACAGAAAGCAGAGGTCTGAGTGAAGTGAGGGCCAGGCGGCCCCCCACAGCGAGGAGGGGCCGGTGAGGCCCTGGCCCCAGGCCAGGACACAGCAGTGCGAAGGCCCACAAGTGGGCGCCTGGTGGAAGCGCCCTCCGTCCTGCCCTGCGCCAGGAAATGGAGGCCCTGCTGCCCCCCCCCAGTCCCTGAGGCACAGTCGGGTGCCCCACTCACCCGCAGCCTCTCGTCCTCCATCCTCCTAGGGGCACACGGGGGCGCGCCACTCACCTTTAGCAGCAGGGCCACCTGCGCAGCTGTCTGGCAGGTCCATGGGCCACGCCAGCCACTCGGAGGCCGCTGGGGCCGCTGGGGACGCTAACAGCCTCCCTCCATGGCCGGGAGGGACCAGAAGGCGAGCAGCTGCCCCGACAGCCCCTGGAAGGACCAGCCACAGAAGGCTCCTCAGACCAGCCACTTTGGGGTGGGGACCCGCCCTGCCCCACCCGTGCCCGGGGCTACTCCGGGCACTCAGAACCTGTTTGCCCACCCCGTCTGGACCAGGGCAGGGCCGCCCAGACCTGTTTTATGGATTGGAGATGTGGGGTGGGAAAATGGGGGCCCAAGGAGTGGGTGGCAGAGATCAAAGGGGGGCCCGGGCATGGGGGGAACCTGCCTCCTCACCTCCCTTACTCCCCAACAGCTCAAGTCTCCTGGCCCCGCTGTCCTGTCCCCTCCTCTCCTGCCGCGCAGCTCTGGCTCAGGCAGGCCGGGACCTGGGCCCTGGACCCAGCCTCCTCCTGAACTCTAGTCCATCGCCAGGGGCCCGCAGCTGACCTGCCCCTCCCCGGCTCAACATTCTTCCAGGCTCCCCAGCACCCCAGGGGCAGAGGGAGGCCCTGGACTGGGGCAGCAGGTGCTGCACGGGCTCACCTCCCCCACCAATGGCGTGCTGTCCCCCAGACTCGGCTGGCTGCCCACCTGGGGCCCAGCCTGGGACACCCGCGTGCCAGCCCTTCCTGGCTCTGCTCTGCTCACTCCTCCCATGCTCCAGAAGACGCTGCCGAAGGAGGCGCTCGCTGGGCCTCCGCATCGCCCTGGGAGCACATCCCCTTGGGAAGCTGGGAACCACCGCCCGGTGGGCTCACTACTCCCCTGGGCATCTTCCCACTATTAGGGACACCCCAAGGCCGCCCAGTCCTGCCTCCGCTACCACCAGGAAGGACTGAGCCTAAGATTTCTAGGCTCAACTCCGGGACAGAGTGAAAGGGGAGCTATTGGCCATGATACTGGACAACGGTGCCCAGCCGGGCTGAACTGGAGACACTGGGGCCTGCGGACCCCACCCCACCAGCTCAGACCCCCTTCCCATAACCTGCTCGCCCCAAACCGGCACACGGGGGTGGCTTTTAGAACATCCTAGCAAAGAAAGGCTCTTTTAGCGGAGACCCTGCCAGGGTTTGGACGGCACTGGAGAGGATGCTTAAAGGGGGCCTGAGTCGGGGAGGGTCCCTCCCTCCCTCCCTCCCTCCCCTCCCTGCTGACCGCAGCTTGGGGGACCAACGCCTGGCGAGGGACCCAGGTACATCATCAGTTCTGTGATGGCGACATTTTAGCAGAAGGACCTGGGCACGAATTTGGGGGATTTTAAAGGAGTTTGGACTTCTTGCAAGGAGGGGTTCTCTGGCTGGATTTCTGGGGGTCACTGGCTGGATGTTATAGGTCTGTTAGGATTTCAGAAGGCGTCTGTTGGGGGGTGACAGGAGGGGTTCTCTACAGGCCCTGAGGGGAAAGTCGGATAGAATTTCTGGTCTACCAAAATGTGGGGGGGGCAGCGATAGAACTCCCCGGAGGTTACCTTTCAGTAGTCCCGAGGGTACTTAGGCTTTTGAGAAGACTCTTGACAGAATTTGGAAGGTCCTGATATTGGGGAGTCGCTCCTACGATTTGGGGGTTCTGCCAGGATTTCGGGAGGGAGTCTGACTGGGTTACTGTGGGGAAGCTCGCCACGGCCGGGACGCACCTGAAGCCTCGTCCCGGCCTCGGGACACACGTCGAGAGCCACAAACGACGAAACGGCAGTTGCTTTGGAGAGAAACGCGCGTGCGCTTTCCCGCCACACACGCCAAAAAAAAAAAAAAAGCGAAAAGGAGAGAGAGAGGGCGGGCCCGAGGGCGCGTGCGGCGTCGAGACTCCGCCCCCTAAACGCCTCCCTCGACGCAGGCGCACTCGGGGCAAGGCGCGCGCGGCTCCGGAACGCTCGGTCGTTACCTGCAGCCGCGAAGTCGCGCATGCGTGGGGCTTCGAGACCGCCAGGGGGCGCGCGCGCATGCGTATAAGCTGGGCAGCCGAACGGTAGCGGGAGTATGGCGGCTTGCGGGGGAGCAGAGTTGCCACGTGCTCTGCGCCTCTGGGGTGGCCTCTGTGGCCTCAGGCTTCGGTGAAATGAGTTCGAGCAGGGACGCATTGGGCCGAGGGTCCCGTGTCCGTCCCCCATTTATTTTCCACTGCCAATCCGTTGCTTTTCTGTCCGCCGTTGCTTCCGGGCCGCCCTGCACCGTCACAATGAGGGCTCCCGCGCAGCTCGGTCCTGTAGGGCCCGGCCGAGCTGTAGTCCCGCACCGTTTCATTCTCTCTAGGGGAGACTAGGGCACAGCAGTCTCCGCTTTCCTGCCTAGAAAGAGGAATAGAGTCCAAAATTAAGGCCTGAGAAAGCTTTGGGACAAAAGGGCCACCCAGCGACCGCTGCTACCCAGATGTGGGAAAAGACCCCTGTTGCATCTCCCCTTCACCCCACTGTCATTTGTTCAACTGTCGCATCCACAGAGGCCCTCCTCTGTCTATGTCTACCCTGGACCCCACCTCCACCTCCTCACTGTGTTATGGGTCCCCTTATTCACCCTTTTATTTATTTTTTAAAAATTTATTTATGCATACAGAACTGGAGCACAGGCCAGAGGTGGAGTGGGGGCCCGGTGAGCGGATTCACCAGAGACACAGTGGGGAGCAGAGCAGACAGATCAACGAAGTACTCTGCTGAGGGGGGCAGCCGGGAGACAGGAGAGGCCTGCTGCGCCCTGTGGTCACCTGCGGGGTGGGTATCAAACTTATACTGGAGCGGCTGCAGCTTGCTTGCAGTGATGAGCTTTAACCCGCTGAGCCACCAGGGAGGGCCCTCTGTTCACCCTTTTAAAGCGTGTGATTGGATGGTTTTCAGTAGATTCAGAGTTGTATAACCACCACAACACACACATCCCTTAAGCCATTACTGCATCTTTTTTTT